TGAGATAACATTTGCGCAGGCTCCTGTATCGACCAGGGCTCTACGTTGTAATCCCGATGAGAAACGTAATTTCGTGTACGTCAGTACTGTTCCTTCCGCAGGGATTATTGCGTAAAGGCTAAGTATCTCATCAGGTTGGAAAAGTTCGTTAGGTGATGATTTAGGTGATTTCGATGATTTAGGGGGCTGACTCAGTGGCTTTATTAGTTTTTTGGCTCGTTTGGAAACGGGAAATTTTGTCCGCGTCCTTGTTGTTTCTGTCGCCACCAGCATTGACTTGCTGTGTGGTTAAATTTTCCACAAACGTCACAAAATTTGGCTGATGATCGCACCATTGGTCCAAAAGGTCCGTTGGGATTTTGCGTTTCAGCTTGAGGCATTTGATTGCGACAAATTGTTGCGTCGGATATTTCTGGGACTGTTGGAACTGTGCTGATGGATGCATTTGAACCATTGGCTGTTGATTTTGGTACATGTTTGGGTACTGCTGATTTTGAGGGTACAATTGCGAATATGGCTGTTGTGCAACTGGTGGCATATTGTGAAAGTTTGGCTGAGTATTGTTGAAATCAAATTTATTTTGCCAAATATTTCTACGTCTTCCGCCTCTGTTGCTTCGCTGTTGTCCATACCCATTATTTTGGTTTGGCTGATAGCCACTATACTGATCACTCTGACTGTTGTTGTTCCGATTTTGTTCGGGGAGCGGATTCGATTGTTTATTCGACTGCTCAGTTATTTGTGATCTCATTTCGTTAAGCTGCTTCTCCATTTTTTCCTGATTTGTGGACAATTTTGTGATAGCGCTTATTAAATTTTCTGAGACTTTGTCGTTTATTTCGTTAAATCCGTCTTCCGAGTAATCGTCTTTTCGGCAAATCTCACGAATGGCGATTTGCTTCTTGGTCAGGTTGCACAGTTCCTGAACTGTAGTTGCAGGTGGTTGTTCCATCAGTTTTGATCGCAGCCAGCCTGGCATTCCCTTAATGAACAGTCGTTTAGTTTGTTCATTTCGGTTGTCATGTACAGCATCTATCCTTTCTTGCCTTTGAGCAGTTTCTCGGTGGAATCGTACTGCTTCTGCTGCTGCAGGTGCTCCAATTATTGCAGGATCAATTGGGGCGACAGCTGGCAAATCTGGTGTCGGATACGCTAGCTGCGCTTTTCTCGTTAAGTTGACCAAGAAATTCTCTGGGGTATCTGTTTTCGTGTTGAATCGCAGTTGTTCTAAATTCAAAACGTGGATTTCTTGAAGTTGGGGGTTGCAAAAGTGATCCCTTACGGCTATGAGACTCGCGGGAACGTTCGCTCGAGTTGCTGGTCCTAGTGTCTGGTAGAATCGCAGCGCGTTGTCTCGTAGGTGCAGTTGCAAGAAGTTCGCTTGTTGTGCGTTTGGTATCGCTGCTACTCCGATGTTGCCTTGAAAAAGTTGCTCGAATTCTGAAAAGTCTTCTTTTTCCGTTCCTCCATAGGGTTCGACCGAAACTTGCGCGTGTGCCATCGTATTACAGTCAAATGAATATCAGGATGATACAGTTGATGATAAGATACAGCAGTTATTCAATTTAGGGGGAACACTAGGGAGTTTGCTATATAAATTAGCTCTTAAAGAAAGCTAGTAGTATCACTGATCAGATTTATTGATGCAATTATATGGTTGTGCTAAAGGTTCCGTTACTTGACTTCTATGGTGGGGAAACTTAATGATAATTATATCAATTTACTGCAGGTTTGAGTTTCCAGTTTTGTTTTAACTAACTGTTTTTGTTGATTGTTGAAAAACCTGTAGATTTGCTTTCTTTGTCTGCCTTGTCAGTAGCTCAGCTGCCCTGCCTTCTGACTGGAACAAGAAGTAGTGATGTTGTAGGTCACAATCCACATCTGCTTCTGTAGATTGGAGAAACTTTCAGCCCGGAGATGTTGAGAAGTTGAGGCTGTCTTCTTTTTCTCCCTGTCTGTCTCAGTTATTCGCTGAATGTTGCTCTGCTTTCCACATCTGAGCGTTGCTGGGTGAAACGGGTTGTGTTGCCCTGTTCTGTTTCAGCAAAGTGCGGTTGTCGTTGTCCGCTCGTGTGATGAAGATTGCATGTGCCGATGACTTTTGGTGAATCAAGAAGTAGAATCTTCCGCGACAGTCACCATGTGATATAGTGTCCCTTCGGATGGCTGTGGACAACTATATCGTCGTTTATTGTTAATGTTGTAAGCTGTTCGGATAGTAATTAGCGCTACTGGCTATCAATTATTATTGAATTGTATTCATAATTTATGTGTCTCGAGCGGTTAAGACTTATCTTGCTTTTAAGGACGCAGGATTCGGTTCTTAACTTCTGAATATCGCTAGTCGATCGGCGCAAGTTAGATCATGATTCTAATATTTTATTCTCTTCAAGTCTACCCAATTGATTACTAGCTCGGTCTAAATCTCCTATGATTGGTATTAATTACCATCAATATTTACATAGTTAAATAAATATAGATGTATGAACTTCATTTCATTAAGAAGGTTAATTATGTTATCTATTATAGCATAAGAATGCATGACGTCATGTAGTGATTTCACAGTTTGTCAATTAAACGCAAAATTTTGACACTAATCCGCAATTCACCCTATTGAAACAGAACTAAACACTAAAAATTTTATTTTGCTTCTAATCATTGTTTAATTTTTTTCTGTGCAATCATACAACTCAACTATTATGAATCAAATTATGTGGGAAAAATCTCAACGAAACAAAAAACCGCTGATTGTTGACGGACACGATTTCACGAAAAAGCAAACAAAACAAGAAAACTGGAGATGCGTGAGATACAGTTTCCACAAGCGCCGAATGCTCGCTGTAACCACTGGAGATGAACTGGTATCTACCGAAAACGAACATATCCACGATGTTAGACCATGAACAATTGAAGAGAACCAGATCGTGTATTAAATGAAAAAAGAGGCCAAGCATCAAACAGCACCTGTTTATAGCAGTATCAATGCCACTTGTCTCCAGGAAGCATCAGACGATAAAGCAGTTCGGTTATCCTCGACCAGTTGAGCAGCAATTAACAGAACTCTTAACCGCCACAAACAGAATCTGGCTCTATCTGCCCCAATCATTAAGACAGACATTTTGTAACTCAAACGGAGTATACTAATTTTTGTTTATGCGACAGTGGAGTCATGGATCCTGAATGAATTTTAATCTTTGTTGACCGGGATAACGCTCATGCCCTCTAAGTTCTCAATTCTCTCTGGCTTTGCAGCGGCACATTCAAAACTTGCCCGATGCAATTTTACCAGCTTTATACTGTACATATTCAAATTGATGGTTCTACTCGTCTTGAATATATATTCTACTTCCAAACAAAACGGAACAAACATACGCAAAGATCCTGAAAGCTATTTATACTGTCTCGAACAATGCGCAGCCCTGAAGGATTCTTACCGATTTTGAACGAGCCACCGTTAATGCTTTCGCAAATGCATACCCAGGGTCCTCGATCAAAAGCTGTTACTTTCACCTCTGCCAAGCAATTTCATGCGAAACAAATGAGCTCGATTTGAAAAAAGTGTATGAAAACAATTGTGAACTGAGCCTGGCTCTCCGTTTAATATGAGCCTCAAGTTTTGTTCCAACTGATTTAGTCGAACAACCGTTTGAGAGCGTTCTTCAGGAAATAGAGCATGTGATCTTGTTTAGATCTCGAGCAATGGGTGGTAGATTAAACTGACGGTGTTAATTCATACTTCCAGAGGAGTTACATTAAAGGGGAAACAATAGGACAAAACAGTAGGCAGCCCTTGTTTTCTCTGAATCTCTGGAACCATTCGCAGAAGCAGCGATTGGATTGATCCGAAATAAAAACACCGTTGAAGGAGATTGGCATCTCGGAGTGACTGCTTTATTCCAAGGGAGCCACCCCAGCCTCTTCACTTTTCTAAAAAGATTGGATTGGACCCCACAAATCAGAAGTTGAGCATTTTGAAGGCTATGAGGTGACACAGAGCCATGGTCGGAAGAAATATCGCGCTATTCATGCTAAAATCCAAATAATTTCCAGCAACTTTAACAAAGACCATGTTGTTGATTATTTATACGCACTTGCTCATTTAACTCTTTCGTAATTTTAAAAAGTTGGCATAATTTTATCCAAATTGTCGGTATATTCGTGCATTTTTAATTGATTTAAAAAAAAGCATTTTTAAAAACTTATAGCCACCGTGGAAATCCCATATTTTGGGGGGTGTCAGAGGCCAAAACTACAATAATTTTGCTCTTTCCCTCATTCCCCTCCCTCCACACGGGTGTACCCAGTCTGAGAGGCTTTGGGGTGGGGCAGTAACTGCACTTTTTTTTCATGCTTTCAAACTAAAGTTTTGACTTCTTCGAGTTTTGAACTCTTGACTTTTTGAATAAGAGTGATGTGCACATTTGATAGGGTTATTTCGACATGAAAATTGCGTTCTAACTTTTGATATGATTAAATCGACATGAAAATTGCGTTCAAATGGCGCAGCTTTCACTTTGTTCGAGCATTCTTTGAACTCATTTTGATTCCGAACATGTTTTAATAAATCCGCAGTTTGTTTCAAATTTAATTGTTCAGCAAAAATATTTTCATGTTAACGCCGAAATCATGTTCTACGAGGAATGATATCAAAGAATCTGGGGCAAGTTTCAATCATCAAGATGACATAGGACTAATAACTGCAACTTTGGTTGGAAAAAAGCTGCTTCGCGCTACAACACTACGGTTCCCTTGTGTAAAAAGAAATCTCAAGATACTACGAACCTCGAACTAACAGCATCCGGCACTTTCTTCGAATATACCATTCGTGGCACATTTACTCAAACTTTTATTCATTTTCGAAAAAAAACACCAAGGAATACGCTTCCATTGAGCTGATATAGAAATTTATGCTTAAATAAAAACCTTGGATTCAAAGATTGCCACTCTGCTAGGAAAAAATTCGTCTTCATTGTAATTAATTGGGCGTGCCAATATTCCCATTTAAAAAATTAATGAGTGCTTTTTCCCAGATCATTCAGGCAAACTTAATAATTCAAGTAATACCTTACTAGACGAAAACCTTATCATATGGTACTTGACATGGCGGGTCTGAGACGGATTTTCAAGAGAAACGGATGCCATCAAAAACACCATAGTTAAGAATAAAGCAATAATCGATTCACACTAGGATTTTGACATGGTCATTCGCTATTTAAAAAGCTGGAGCTCTACTACCACCCTTACTAGACATTTAGATTTGTGTAATTAGTGGTTTTACAAGTGTATGGATGACGAAATTTCATCACAAATGCAGTACAACAAGAAATTCCATACAGAGATATACATTTTGCAGGGCGAGGAAGCTTTAGTTTAACGAGTCAAAGTCCTGATACGGTGCCTTCAAATACTGAATAATTTTACACGAATAGAATTATAATACAGGAACTATTATCAAAATCATAAGACGTTTAGTGCGAGAATTAAATTAAATACAACATAAATTCAGAGGACATAATCTCAGTTTTTGTGACTTTGAGCTTAAAATTTTAAACAGTATAGCAATTTAGAACATTCAACAGATAATAAACATAACGATAATGTAATACTGTTACTATATCATATAAAAGGAACTTTAGACATGAGCATGAACAACAAACATAACTAGAAGTCTAATAAAAGTCGTAGGAATATTGATTTCTTTCTGGGTAGCCCATCATAGGAGCCCGAGCACCCCCCATACCACCCGTACTCGGAGAAACCACGGCTGGGTAGTTGTTACTTAACGAAGGCGAAGAAGCTAAAATAGGAATTATAAACACAGAGGCGAGGCTGAGCTTCGCACCACTTGCGATACTAAAATAGAAAACCGCTAAGTCGTAAAAACCGAAAATTCTGCACGAAAATTTTGGCCACCTGTTTTTTTTCACTGAACTCTCAACCTCAGATTTGGCAGGCTAGTTTTTGTGGTGCATCGTTAGTGATGGTTCCCAGCCATCATATGATTGCGGGTTCAAATCACACGTGTGCTGCAATTTACAAGGTGAGCCTTTGTAAGATAGCCATAGCCTAGTTAACCTTAAAAAATTAACTTTCGGGTTAAGCCTCTGGCTGGTAAACTAGAAAAAAAAAATGGGAAAAACAGCCTTTTTAAGGCCACAATTTTTTTCGATTAAAAATAGGACGTACCGGATTACGTAGAAGAGATTCCCACAACCTGTTCTTGCTATTGAAACCTTAATCTCAGATTTGGCACGGTAGCGACTGAGAAAAAAAACAAAATTCAAAAAAATGAGTCAAATATTCCATACGTTTAAATATTCAAAAACCTCTGAAGGCCTTTCATTGGAGCCATTTTTTTGAAATCAGTGAAAATGTTGTCGAGAAACAAAATTTCAGCGAACAGTGAAAAAAATTGCCAAAGCGCCTCAAAAAATCATACAAGTAAAAATCATAATACTTGACTTCGTAATACTTGCTTTTCTCGAGCAGGAAATTTTTCCCTCGAAACTACGCAATAGAAAATGATTTTGCGAAGAAAAATTAAGGTACACCATAAGCCAGCGGCTCAAAAATTATTAAATTAAACAAAAATACTATTTCATAATACCTGATTTTGTAGAACAGGAATGTTTTGCCTCGAAACTACGCAATAGGAAATGATTTTGCGATAAAACATAAGCCAAAACCGTTGTATCGCAAAAAAAAGAAAAATCAGATACACCATACACCAGCGTCTCAAAAAGTCAGATACACCATACACTAGCGTCTCAAGAGGTAAAAAATACGATGTATTATAACTGATTTTGTCAAACAGGAATTTTTTCGCACAAAACTACACAATAAAAATAATTTTGCTATAAAACATAAGCCGAGACCGTTGCATTGAAAAAAATAATAATAAGAAAAATCAGACTTGGAAAACCGACAAATTACAGATTTTTCAATTGTATTAAAAAATTCTAAATCAAAACAGAATCCATGCTTTACGAAAAAAAGCAGTAGTACAAATTCAAGGTGGAAAAAAAACGGAAATTCAACCGATGGAAACCAGGACCAAAATCACGATTTAACCCCAGAAACGGACTACGCCTATTTACTGCCAAAATAATGTAGTTTCATTTAAATAAGTCAAGTACCCAATTGCAATACCCTTGCTTATCGCAAGGGTAACAAACACTAAATCAAAATTAACTACAAACTAAAGAATAATTTCGTATATTAACTTAAAACCTTCGCAGCTCCGATGATCGAAATGAAAAGATCATAAATGTAAACTTTCATCGAAGCAAATTGACATTGAAACATTATAACATAGCCAACTGACAGTTGGAAAGGAGTAATGAACGCAAGGAAACATAAAAAAAGGCTTGTTTTTTCAAAAATCTTCAACTTTTGAATTTCGAGTAAGAAATTAGTTGGCCTTAAAGCTCTTTGAATTAGCAGAACCATTTATGATGAACACTTTTTTGTTAAAATTAACCCAATTTGAGAAAATTGGATCAATAGCTATAATTTTTATTTCGCTGTGAAATCTGATAATTAATTCTTAATTTCAAAATTAGAAGTCGATCACGTTTTTCGTGACCTTTACAATTTTGCTGTTCGATAGCGAAGTTTGCCTTCCTTTTAACAATAGAAATGCAATGAACTTCACAAAAGAAATCACAAGTCAAACAGCGAAAAATCAAAATTGAGCGTGAACAAATTTTAGAACTTTTTCCAGAAAAAAAATCAGCAAGACCTATATAAGAGCCTTCACTACGTACATTACTCTTAATAAAAGTCTTGAGATTTCATTAGCTGCCTGTGACGTCCCTGCATCTGCATATTACACTGCCGATAATAAAATTATCGTTGAACATAATGATGAGATGACATCACAAAATATCATTTACCGATTAGCTGTTTGCTATTAAATAAATATTGTATTTCAAAATCCTAAACAGTATCATAGAGCAACGAATAATACCTACTAACTAAACGACTATAAGATAATTGATACGCCTACACTGCGATGCTACCGTTTTTTCCATTTACTAACGAAGCTTACTAGAATCAATACCAACCACATGCAGATATCTCCTCTGTCTGCTGTTTGAACTTCTTGAACTCCAGAAACTCCGCAAACATCTTCATGTCCGGTGAGACAGTCGTCTGCGGAAGACTCATTTCCGCAACTGCTGTCTGTTTACTAGGTTCAAACGGGCGCTTTCGTGCTTGCATTGCCATTCCTTGCATGGCAGACTGCATATGCATTCCCATATCACTCCCTTTCGACATTCCTGGAAAACTACCGTCATATGCATACATTTGAGACGCAACTCGATTGTGCTCCGAGAACAACTCTGTAGCTCCTAGAGACATCATAGAAGCTGCTCCTGCGCCTTGCTTGTTTCCTCTTAACTCCTGCTCTCCGTGAGCGAAATTGCACATCCCACCGTTTCTACACACGCCCGAGTTCGACCAGTCTTTGCAAATTGCAGTTTTGTATCTGGAGCTGTTTTTGTCGGGCATTTCGGCTTTGCGCGAAGAACGCAGTTCGCCCTCGCCATGAGCGTAATTGCACTCAGCTCTGGAACAGTTTCCCTCTCTTTTATAGATGTCGCACAAGGAACATTTCCAGTTTGGGTTTTGTTTCACTTTTTCTTCGAAGTCACCTGAAAGTTAACTACATGAGGGATATTAGTTATCATAAAACCAAAATCATTCAATACTTATCGACTGCAAAGGAAAAAAAAGCAAACATGACCAACTGACAGTTTGAAAAGAGTAATAAACGCAAGGAAACAACAAAAAATTGAATTGTTTTTGAAAAAACTTCAACTTTCGATTTTTAAAGAAAAAACATTAGCCCTGAAGGCTCTTTGAATTTCACGAAATTAAGATTGATGCTTTTTTGATAAAGTGGATCAATACGTAAAATTTTTATTTCACTGGGAAATCTGATAAAATTCCATTTTCGAATTAGAAGTCGATCACCTTTTTCGTGACCTTTACATTTTTGCTCTTCGATAGTGGAGTTTGCCTTCCTTTTAACAAAGGAACTGAAATGAAATCAGAAAGATATCAAAAGTCAAACCAAGAAAAATCACAATTGAGCGTGAACAAATCTTAAGCCTGAAAAAAACCATTAGATATAAAAGTATTCATTACGTTCATCACTCTTAATAGGAAAAACATTAACAGTTAACAGCCAGGTTTGCTGTAAAAATATCTTTCAATTTTTTTTACTTCTTTATCTCGTGCCCGAGTCATCATTTTATTACATGGTTTCTCTTGAAGCAAAAAAAATCGATAGAACAGGAGATGATCGATTGACGTTTCAGAATAACAATTCAGAAAATGCAAAAATCATTAACCTTTGAAGCCTCTGGGTCTCAGTTCAAATCTTCCATGAGCAAATCGGCACATATCAGCAACTATGCAGCTGCCTTTCTGTTCATAGTTCTTGCACAGCATTGTTTTATACATATAATCCTCCTTTTTCATAAAACCAGGTCTGTCCGACCCTTTTTGCGACTCAGTTTGCCTTAGCTCGGATTCGTCATGCGCGAACGTACAGTTGTCTTTATTAGTACACATTTTATTGTACTGATACGGAACACACATTCTCGTTTTGAACTTGGCAGCATCGTTGGCTTTCGGTTCCGATGAATTTCCAGTAGCTGATTGGCTGAGTGATTGCATCGGAACTATGTTTCCAGACTTGACGTGTGAGTATCTGCAATTATCCCCTTTAGTACAATTTCCGTACTTCAGGAAAAAGTTGCACACTTTCTACAAAAACAAGAGCAACTCAGTGATAAGTGATGAAAACTTTGTGGAATCCGATAACCATAAATGTACCCAACTTCATTACATTATTTTCGCCGTTCACATGCATCTGACTGTTGCCCGCTTGCAACTCTGGAGTCCTGGTGAGCCGAGGCAGAGATGAAGAAGCAGAGGGTAGGGCCAGTTCCCTGACTTCGTCTTCTCCATGCGCAAACAAGCAGTGATCGCCCAATCTGAACAGCACAATCAACTGTTAATCACTTAAATGCTTTTCATTTAATTAGTTGAAAACAGATAATTGAATCACATTTGGGATTAGTCGATACTAAGGCGTTATTTGGGTATAAGTTAAAGATTGCTTAGCGTTATTTCTGAAAGTTAGAAGAACTCGTAAATCAGGCTGATATTAGAGTAGCTGATAATTCTAATCAAAACCAAATTTAGGATCAGAAAAAAAAAACAGTATAATAAACCTGCATCTTCCCTCCTGTTCATATGCAGTGCATATCTGAGTCTTATAGAGAGGGTTCTCAGTTGACCTCAATTCCTTCAGCCCATGGGCAAACGCACACTCGGACCCATCAGGACAAGAGCGTGACGACTCAAATGTGGGACACAGCTCAGACTTGTATCTGTACTCCATCTCAGACAGTTCCATTTACACTCTGAAAAAAAGACAGAAAACCCATAGACCGAAAACTTTCCCTCATAGCAGAGTGTTTAAATCAGCTCAACTTGTGGAACATGCAAATTCATTTTCTAGAATATATATCTAAATTACACCATTGTTTCACCTCAAACGCAACAAAGAAACTCTTTCTTTATTTCGGAAAGTTTTTCATACATTGTATGATTCTTACTTTCTGCTAAATCTGATAATCATTTCAATTTTCAATACTCAACCATAAAGTTTCTGAAAGAATCTGTTGCAGGAGAACAGCCTCTGTCAGCAAGTACTGCCAAAAATTCACCTGCTATCAGAAATTTTCGATAGATAAGTTTTAACTTTTCAAATCAGCGGAAGCTTTAAAACTTTTGTGCATTTCTTCGCACTGTTTTTGCAACAATCTCAGCTCCTTTTCCATGGTGTCCGTCAATCGTTTTCTAATTTCAGTTCTAGTGTAATTCAAGGCTCTCAAAGCAGCCAGCTGCTCTGTAAAATCAATCGGTTTTCCAACCACAAACGTGATTTTCCGTCCAATTTGGGGAATGTATGGTCTCTTATTGGGCAACAAATCATCCATGCCCATGTGCCATATGGGCAAAACAATTGGCGGTATTTTGGCTTCGTGGAGGAGTCTAGCAGCCCCCCATTTGAGTCTAAGAAGACGTTGGTCCAGGTTGATCTTACCCTCGGCAAACAGATGCACCCAACCAGCTAAAGCAGAAAATGAAAAAGTGAGCAATCTTTAAATGCTCAATCGCAGTTAAATTGAAGAACTAAACCACTAAATCATTGTCTTTTTTTGTTCGAAAAACATATGCCGCGTTTGATAGAAAAAAGTTCATCACCGTAGAGATCATTTAACTTCTTGAAGCTTTTATAATTAACCATTTATCTTTTGAAAAAACAATTTCTAGAAAAAAATTGGTTCAATAGGAAATTTGAAAAAAATTTTCAAACTAAAAATCAGATATCTTTCCTATAAAAACATAGCCAATCGAAGATTGCAAAAAGTGTAATGAACGCAAGTAAACTTAAAAAAAAACACTTTCTTGATAAAATCTCAACTTTCGAAAATCTTATGCCCTTTAAATTCTTTGAATTTCTAGAACAATTTATGATTGGCGCTTTTTTGATAACATGAAGCCAACTTAAGAAAACTGGATCAATAGGTAAAGTTTTTATTCCGCTGGGAAATCTTATTCCGCTGGGAAATCGCTTAAAAATAAATTTCCACTTTCGAAACTAGAAATCGTTCACGTGTTTTTGCGCCATTTCCTCATTTGTATTTGGAGAGAGCTATTTACGTCACTTTCAGCAGATTAACTTCAGCTAAGCTCAAAAAATGCATTATACCTAAGTGCATCAATATTTTAGGACTTTTTTCTGAAAGAAAAACAAAAAACAATCAGCAAGACCTATATAATAGTCTTCACTACGTTCATTACTTTTAATCAAGCCAAACAATTTATAAAACACAGTAATTAAAAAACAAGACATTAAACAAGTCAATCACAGTAATTAAAAAAACAAGACATTAAACAATTCAAACACAAACAAACCTAAATTAATGCAGGATGTTTCTCTATATGCTGTCACCGTTTTATGTTCAAAATAAAGATTGAAAAATACTTAAGTTTTACTTTGCATTTTATGTTATTATATGCTCTAAAATTACACGTTATTATATGATATTCCATTGAGTAGTGAAAAAGATTTCAAAATATAAATGGCACATAACGAGCGCATTCAATCAGGCTAGAACAATTTTAATGTGATGGTTTTTTGATGAATGACAAAGGTTTTATACCACACGCCATTTTTCTGAGGATACAATTCATTTCGTATTAAGTGAAGAAGAGATGCATTAGCAATTTTAATCTCGTCAAATGATTTGCAAAATTATTCAGAACAAAAGGGTTGAGCATCTATACTTGAATAAGATGCTCGAAGTCCAAATTTTGCGAAAGATAATCTCTTGTTTGAAAGCTATTTGGTAAATTTTGATATTGCACCAATACTTGACATTAACTGATAACTTTCTGGTTCTTTTTAAAGATTGGTTTAATGAAAGGTTTTCTAAGTCAAAACCTTCTATACTTAACAAATTCACAAAAAAATCTAATCGGTTTATATGTGCTAATCTTCCAGTGCCCAGGCTGGAATATCACTAAAACCTAGCAACTTTTTTATTGTTTCATATCATTACTGTTCAGACCATTTGAAAACTCTGGAAGGAACATTCTATTCGGGTTTTTTTTCCACGCAAAATCAGGTACCACAAATAATCATCGGAATGGGTCCAGTGATATATCAAATTAAAGCCCTTTTAGACGTGATTCGAACGACATGAAAACTTTCTCAGTGTCGATAAAAACTGATTGAAACTTTTGCTTTTTGGGAAATTCGAGCTAATTAGGTGACCGCGCATGCTTACAACAGCTTATTTATGTTTAATTAAAGCCCTGAAAACTTAGTTGTAAGCAAGTAAGAGTAGTTTTAGAGATTTTTAGCGCCATTTTGGAACCATTCTTTGCCTATATTACTATGACTGTCGAATATGCCCAACGTCAAATTCTTTTATCACACCGCCCAAAAAAACTAATTAATTTGAAACAAAAACTTTTTTTGTAGTTTTTTTAAAAACTGGTCGGAACATTGTGGTACTTACAAACTGCATTACCTCCAAATTTCGACAATTCAATATTTATTAGCCTAAACGCGATGTAACTTTCGTTACCAGGACACCATTAAATACAGTCGTTTAATTCGTTTAGCCAGTTTCGCTGAACCCATAAATCGAATCATCTCCCACAGTTTTGCCGAGATTTCTTTTAGTCCTGTTCGCTTTCTACATGGACTGCGACATTTTTTACGCCAAATTGTTTTAGGTTGTTTTTGAGACTTACATCATGGTCCTAGATTCGGATATATACCGCCTGATAGCATTATTGGGAAAGTTCGTGATAATATCTTATTAAAGGTTCAAATGGAACCTCATAAACGCTAATGTGGCAGCCGATGGAACTAAAATCGAGGGATCCATTTCATAAAAAGAACATAAAAAACAAATTTTTATCAAAATGATAATTACTCCTGAAGATTACATGCTTTAAAGGTTTTCAGCAACAAGAAAAATTTCCCTTGAATAGAGTAAAGGTTAAAATCACATCATTCAATCATCTATAATGTTCATAGACAGTAACATAACGATGCCAGCGCGCGCACACGGCCTTTCAAAAAAAACTGGTAACCAAAAATTATATTACAATAAATTGCTACACAGAGGCACAGCAGAACTTCGCAACACTTGCGATACAAAAATGAATGATTTTGACTACTTACAGATGAAGGGACAAGATATTGACTTATAGATCAAAAAAAACTATAAAACTTGCAAAAAAATCCGAAATCTTAGAATACAATTAATTGCACCTTTACAAATTTTACAAACATGGGCGAAGCCAAGCTTTGCTTTATTTGCAAGACAGCACATGCATAGCCTGATAAACAAACCGACAGAAATGATGAAAAAAGCCGTAAAACTCAATGTGAAAAAAAGATCGAAAAATTGATCGACCAAAAACTTTCCTACAATTGTCTTATTTTGTCTGGAATAAAACCTCCTTTCAAGAAAACATGACAAGAAGTAAAACAATGAATAAAAAAAGAGCGTCGAAATAAAATTTACAAACTCGACAATTCATGAGCAGACACGTTGCTCCGAAAAAATGTTTTTATAAGAAAAACTCGGAACTCAAAAAAACGTTCGAGACTTCCATGAAAATGTTTGAATAAAAACCATTTTACTCTTCAAAAAGAGGACTGTAAGCCGATAAAATTTAAGCCGAAACCTATTACGCCGAAAGAAAAATCAACAAAACGAGTGGTAGAAAAATAACCAAGTGCAGAGGGGAGCGTAAAAATTGCGTTTCTCTAGAAACGACCCAAAATTAGGCCACTAAGACAATAAAAATTATGCGGAAATGATAAGGGCCGAAAAGTGTTTAAGCTAAACAAAAAAGAAAAAATGAAATACGAAGTCAAGACAAGTAGAATTACGAATTGCAGGAGCAAATCCAACACTAAAAGAAACATTTAAAAATGCGCGAAGCAAAAAAATGACTCCAAGGTGTGGCAACTAAGCCTACAAAAGAAAACCAGACAAACAATTGTCCGAAAATTTCAGTTGAAACAGAATATTTCCCGTTTGAATCAGATTCGAACCCAAGACCTTTGCAGTCCCAGGCGTGAGTGTTACCTCCAGGCTAACGCTGAAAAGTTGAACTAATTATGAACACAGGCGAAGCTGCACTTTTCAAACACTGGCAAAAACACGACAAAAAAGCAGCCTTTAAAAGTGAAAGTAGCGTGTTACGCACCTCTGGTGCTTCGAATTTTTGACAACTAAAAAGCGCATATATTGGATATTGGCTCTACATCCTTGGAGATAAGATCTGCATAGTCTGACAGCAATCAAATACAGGGTTGGTTATTTCAAATTTTGTATTTTTTGTATTCAAGTTTTTTTTCAATTTAAAATTTGAAAACCCATAAAATTTAATGAAGTATCGAATATCTCAATACTTTGAAAATTTTTAAAATTACATAAAATTGTCACATCTTGGAAACTAAAATCAATTGAGCAGTCAGATTTGAACGCAAGATTTGCAACTCCTGAGAGTATCCTCTCAGTACCCAACTACAGCGTTGGTAATTTCAAGTTTTGGGAAACTTCAAAATTAGTTTTTCTAAAAAACTTTTAAAAAAAACGTCATATCTCGAAAACAACAAAGGATTTGAGCAGCCACAATTAGGGGCATGATTCCCAATCTCTGAGAATACTCTGACAGCCCCCAACTACAGGGGGTAAGGAACTTCAAAACTTGAAGAAAAAAAACGTCATATCTGGAAGAGTACGAAGATTTGAGCAGTCAAATTTGGAGGCAAGATTCGCAACTCCTGAGAATAATCTGACAGCTCTCAACCACAAGGTTGGGAATTAAAATTTTGAAGAAAAAAAACTAAATTTAAGTTTTTGGAAACAATTACAAAAAAAGGGTCATATCTGGAAAATTACAAGGATTTGAGATGAAAATTTAGATTAAAAATATGGATTGAAAAATTCAATTGAAACTTCAAGACACACAATAGTTGGAACCACTCTTCCATATCCAAAAAGCGTAGACAAGCTGTCCTTATAGAACATAACTTCATCAGCGCCAGGGGTCCATCTTATATTTTTAGGATTCGAAACTAAACTGAATGGCAGAAGACCAAACAAAACGGGATCGTCCACACAGCAATGATGATTTGATATGGTTAAAAGAGGTCGGTTCTTGTGCACTTTTTTCAGAGCCAAGTCCGAAAACGTTTGCAGATTTTTGGTTTGAGTTTTACTTAACACTCGGAGCCAAAATTTACTGATAGCACCAATTAAGGTAATTGTTGTTACTTCTTTCACCATATACCAACTTGTCCTGGGTACTGAAAACGGCCACCTTTTCGGCAATTCAACTCCTTTTTTAATTCTCATCCAAAACCTGCAGAGCAGAAAACTTTCAATAATTGTAACACATTATACTTTTATGACAATTTAACTGATATAGTCCCAATTTTTATAGTTCGTTGCGTATTCGGTTTAAGTAAATTAATGCCTACTTTTTAGTTTTACATTTTACGATCAAAAAAGTATCATGGTAACAAAAATTATATCACACGTCCTTCATTACATTTTGGAAGTAGAACTTCGGATCGGAATCTTATAAATCGGGAATATACAACAATATATACAAGGGAATACTTCCAACATTTCTTCAACTGTTTCTTCAATTTAAATGTAATTTGTACACTTCTGCGAACCGAAAAACGAGGAGCTGAAAAAAATGCAACTGTTTCCCATTGTAGGGCGAGTTTACTAATTTTGATTGATTTTATTATTGGTCTTTCTTCCGGTCCGTGTAATCAGAAGGTCAAAAGTATCATAGTAACCGAGGTTACAGTCATGAGTCCCTTCATCATGTATTCCAGTCAAAATCCTTGGAATTTTTTAGATATGGAAGTGATAATGATAAAAGAAGATGACAAGTGTTTAAGTCCTTTTCAATTAAAATCGATACGGGTTACGTTTCTTCAATAAGAACACGCAACTCGACACGAGATAATATAATATACAAGTGTTACAAGTAAAAAATTTCGTCGAAAGTTATTTGGTCATTTATTGTTCCGAGTACGCAAGCGGCGTTCGCAATCTGTATTGCCAGGGAGATTCTCTGTTTTAAAAAGCTGCCTGCTCTGGGTTCCTCAGTGCATATAATAATAATAATAATATGAATTTAGCGTACGCAAGGGGTTTCCCCCACAGTTTCAGTTAAGTTAGTTAGACATATTTGTGCAGTTGTTTCGGGTACAGTCGCACAGAATTTTCCAACTACAGGGGTTGGAGTCATCGAATCTTTTCTCGAAATGCTCCCACATCCATTGCAGCAACCGTCCTTTGAGTCCTATCGTGTTGGTAAACTCCACTTTTTGAGGAACCAAATTAGCCAGCCTCTTTGCATGAAACCACAAATTTTTTTGGCAAACAAAGTTTGCAGGGCGTGTACATTCAAATAAACGAGATCTTGTATTAGCTAGGTCATTTTTTGGCGAAAAACGGTCACAAAAATTGAAGTCGTAGTGATTACTGAGGATTTTAGATAGTAGAAGTAAATTATTGAGCTGAATGTACATGGGTAAAGGCAGTATTCCTAGACGCTGAAGCGACGTTATGTAATTAGGACCTGTTGCAATCCATTTGCATGCATTGCGTTGAACACCTTCTAAGAGTTTCATCTCTTCGACGTTCAATTGATAGCACGCTGAGCCGTATAGCAAAACTGGAATTACCATGAATTTGAGAAGATTAAGTTTCGTCTTGGTATTAAGAGTCAGTGGTTTGCGCTTCAGCATGCATAGAGTGCTGAGGGCGTTTCCTCTTCTAAGTTTAATATGCGATGTCCAGCCTAGATCCGATTTTACAATTATTCCTAGGTCTTTTTCCTCTGAGACTTTCTTAATTAAATGTGAGTCGAAGTGAAAGTCGCTACTTGTGGCACGTTTAACCGGTAGGTGAGTGCATTTTGACGCATTGAACGCAATCTGGTTTTGTTGAGTCCACGTAAAGATGTTATTTAGGTCTTTCTGAAAATCTGCGTTAAGTGTACCAATTCGTAAGAACTTTGCGTCGTCTGCGTATAGAAAGCTGGTGGAATGTTTACATACACTTGGTAGGTCGTTAATCATGACAAGAAAAAACAATGGCCCGAGGATTGATCTTCGAGGAACACCGCTTGTGACATAGAATGATTGGGACAGACAGTCTTTGATTTTGACACATTGTGTTCTATTTTTCAGGTAGTTATAAATTAGTTTTAAAATTTTGCCTCTGATTCCCAGCTAGTAGAGCTTATCAATCAGAATACCGTGATCTACTTTGTCAAAAGCATTCTCGAAATCGGTATATATTACGTCTACTTCTTCATTTTTGCTTATAGCTGAATATATGGTATCAAGATAGAGCAGCATTTGGATGATCCCTGACCTTTTCGCGCAAAATCCGAATTGGTTGTTGTGCAACATAGGTTCTAGATGTTTATATAGATCGATGAAAAGAACTTTTTCGAAGATTTTGCTGACAATATTAAGTAGTGATATTGGTCTGTAGTTACTTATCGAGGCCTTGCTTCCTTTCTTTTTGAATATTGGGCTGACAATAGAGTGTTTCCATTGATCAGGGAAACAACAGGTCTGGAGTGCTTTATATATGATATGGTAGAGAGAGGGCGTTAAAGATTCACTACAACGCTTAAATAAAATAGGAGGTAGTAGATCGGGACCTCTCGACTTACTTAGATCTAGATCATTACACAGTTTGGCAATCAGATTCCTGTCTGGTTTTATATTATGAATTATTTGTTTAACTGAGTGCTCTTGTTTTTCAAGACAGGATGGTTGAGAAGAGATTATAAATGCTGAGTTAAAAAACTTGGCGAATAGATTAGCTTGTTCTGGCAAGGTTTTCGCAACTGAATTATCAAGTTTCATGACGAAAGGTAGTTCTGAGTTACGGAACTTTCTATAGTATTTAAACAGGGCTTTAGTATCACGCGAGTTTGACAGATGTTGTTCGTATTCGCTTCTGTTATTCTCTGCGGCGGTTTGTACCTTTTCATTCATTGCAATCACCGAGGCACATTGTGAACCTTTTTGTTTGCAAAATGTTGACAGACGTTTCATTGAGTTTGACGTCTCAGGAGTTATCCAGGGAGAAAGATTTAAGCTATGTTGAGTTCTACGCGGGATGAATTTTGGTAGAAAGCTATGAATCCATTCGTACCAAAGTTCGACTATTTTTGTAACATTTGACCAGCAGTAAGGTGAGAAGGTGTTGATTGAAAACGCCTCATTTAAACCGTCGAAGTCAGCTTCGCAATAGCTATAGAAACTGGTTTTACTAAATGTGGAGTTTTTTTCGAGTTCCTTTATGCGGATTATTGAGTTAATAGGTTTGTGATCAGATTTTGGTGCAGTAAATGCGTCGAGTGGTAGGGTGTCGATTATTTCAACTTGGTTGCTAACAAGGACTAAGTCAAGTATATTAGCGTTCGTTGTTTTGAAGTGAACAGTTTGATTTAAGCTTAATTTATCTATTTTGTCAAGTATACATTGATGGAGCGGTTCTGAGGTTTGAATGGACCAGTCAATTGAAGAAAGATTAAAGTCTCCGTTTATTACACGAAGATTTGCATTGCAGTTCGACAAGAAGTCCATTAGCTGACAAATGCGGAAGGGCTCCAGATAATATTCGCTCCTAGGAGGGGGGAAATAGCATGTGGCAATTAGTAATGTGCCTTCGGAAGATTCCCAGATTATAGCGGTGCAATAACCTTGAAATTGGTCAGGAAGAGAAATTTCATAGCATTTTAGTGTAGACTTTGTTGCAATAAGGACCCCACCGTGGGCTGTTTTTTCATTTTGTTTGGTGTTTGTGTCAGAACGAAAGATATTGAAGCCAGGGAGGAATAGTTCGGAGTCGCTGATGTTAATTGTGAGCCATGTTTCGCTTAAACAGATGATGTCAAAGTTGTTTGTGAAGACAAAGTTTGATAGAGATGTGCGCCTACTTGAGTTCACTAAGCTTCGGGTATTGAAAGTAAGAATCGAATAATCGGTAAATTGGTCAGTTTCGTAACTCAAAGAAAGTCAACATTCACTCAAATCTACTACTGCTCCATCTAGGAAGAGTTCTAAATTACGAACTTTTAATCGGCTAGGATATGTGTTTTCTTCGATCAGACTTCTTCTTTTTTTTCAAGATTTTGCGTTCTTGTTCTTGCTCGGTCTTATTCAACGATTTGCTGATGTACACTTTGAATTTTTTGTCTGCGGTACCATCGTATTGCTTCAGTCTGAAGGCACTCGCAAGTACCTTGTATGCAGTCATTTTGTCGCGAAACTTGACTAAAAATGTTCTTGGTCTTATTGACTCAGGTCTGAATTTTCCCACACGTGTTGCTGATGTTATTGCTTCTTTATGTATTTCGAGATGTTCCATGATTGAAATCATGGCTTTTTCTTCGTGTTGTATTATGTCTAGCTGTCTGGGCTTCTTTTCAAAGCTGACAGATTTGAACTCCGGTATACCGGAGATCCTCGCCTCACATGTTTTATCATCTTCGGAGCTTTTCTGTTTCAACAGTGCTGAGATGTAGCTACCCTTGGAGGTTTCCCCTGCTGATTGCGTTTCTGACATTGCTGATCCTTTAACGTCATTGTGCACTTTTTTTATTGAAGATTTGATAGCATTGAGGTCGTTCTGAATGCTCTCTTTTTCGTTGAACTTAAGTATTAATTCTTTGAATAGACAAACAATGTTATCTTTTTTCGTTTTGCTTAGGAACTTGTTTAGTTCATCGTCGTGAGCAGACAGGATTTGATCAAGTCAGATTTGATCGAGCAGACAGGATTTGAACCAATATTCTTAGGTTCTTACAAAGCTTGCTCAAAAAAACTTATGTACTGGGGCCGGCCGCGCCCTGAATTTCAAAAGCTAGCGGTTGAAAAAGATATCCATCATTAACAAGATATTTATACTTGTCAATTTTTTGCTCTTCCGCTTCAGCGGCAGCCGTACCAGGGTTACAAACAGACCCGGCATCAATCTAAGGGTTACAAACAGACCCGGCATCAATCTACTACCGTTACATCCCACAAGAGCTGCTTACCATCAGCCCATGGAACGAGCGTCAAACCGTCTGGTCGCTTCTGATCGGTCCTGTAGAGGTGTCGTGGTTCTAAAACAGACGGAATGTGAGTAGATGATAGAGTCTGCTTTATAAGGGCATTCAGGTTTGAATGCCTAGAGAATGTGCCTGCACTTTTGAGGCAAGAAAGACAATGCCAACCATCCTCGGTAACGTCTTTTCCGCACACGCATTTATGCCGTTCGCATATTTTTGATACTAATCGAAGTCCTATCGCAATTCTGAGTTGTTGGTTCGACAGTTTTAACCTTAAATTTTTG